TGAAAATGACACATATTGGGCGTTCTTCATCATCAACAACACAAAATGTAAAACCATACTTAATAAATTCCTCATTGTATTTTCTTATTTTTTTTGATCGGGCATTTACTTCAGTATTTTGCGACTCCTCATCAGTATTTGTTAGTTGAAGATGTACCTGGTGTACGTATTACCCATTTATCCATTATGAAGAGAGGGGTTAAATTATTTAAACTAAAAGAAATAATATATAAAATTTTATCATTTTTTTTTCGAGAAATTCAATAAAATTAAGAGATCTTTCTCTAATGATAGTACATACCTGATAACAAAGAGTAGCGAAGCCCAATAAAAATATAAAAAATCAAAATTACATAACGTCACATGATAAAACTCGAGGATAAACTAAAACAATTGCAGTCCAACTGCTACATGTTACAACTTCATGCGAACACTTCACGTCTTCACTCTGACTATCAGATACACCGCGTACCTCGCCATCTGATTGGCTGATCACGGAAGCGAATTTTTGCCCTTTCCCTGCGGTTAACGTCTAGTCAAATAGGCGTTTTTTAGTAAAACTGGCGAATTACCGCAAAGAGGGCGCTCTCTACCGGAGTGAAAAACTTGCGTCTTCACACTTTACATACATTACGCATTACGGTCACAGAAAGAGTGGACAGCATGAAATTGCAATTAAACAGTGAGTGACGGCGCTTCACTCTTTATATGTACACTGTATGGTATACAGCATGCAGGGATAATGCATTTCATACAAATTTGGCGACCCCCACAGGGGTCGCGACCCCTAGTTTGCGCACCACTGCTCTATAGAATAAAAATCTCTCAATTCCACGAGACACTTTGAAATTTAGAATAAGTAAATCCATAGAGATCATTTGACCAGTCAAAAGGAAATAGTTAGTGTGGAGTTTGAGTTTTGGAAAAATATCGTATTTTTAAATGCTTTTCCGACAGTTTAATTTTATTTTTCCCTCTGAAATAACCATATATTAACCGCTGAAAAATAATTGGAAAATATCTCTCCAGAGATGAGATTTGCACTTTATCCTAATAGTATTGAAATTTAATATAATTTTAAAAAAAGGGCTATCTACTACATTTATTGCCACAGTTTACTACAGTTATTATTTTTCACCATATTTTGCTAAATATGCAAATTAAATAAATAAAATAAAATAAATAGAAGTGTAAAAAGTTTTGTTTATTACATTCAAATGAATTTAAGAATTTTAAATTGATAATCTGGTAAAAGTGGTTTATTCATAATTATGTTTTCATAATTATTATGATTATTTCTAAACACATCTAAATTAAAAAACCTTTTGAATTTGTTGTGCATATTTTTATTCAGTCTAGTTTGAATATTTTAGACAAGACTACACAAAAATATAATATTTCACAATATTTTAATTTATTTCAAGCGTGACTCTGCGCAATACGATACTGTGCTTAATTTAATTTATTTTAATATTATTGTTATAAATCTCTATCTACGAAAGTTTAAATATCCCACAACCCTTTTAAAATGTGCCAATTTTAAATTTAGCGCATTGATATGACAAAATTTTGATCACTGATATGCTGGTGTTTTATTAATCGTTTCAACTTTAGAATTGGGTGATTAAGAATTTATAATTATAATTTTAATAACAATATGATAAATTCCAGATAAAAAAAAATTTCTCACCTTCTGTGAGATGCACACATTTTTAAAAAATTTTAATTGAAAAATGTTGAATGAAGCAACGCAAAATAAATAACAATTCAAGATATAACCACTGTGGTCAATGGCACAAGAAGTAAAAACTAAAATTTGGAACAGATATTTAATTAGAATTTTAAAAAAATTAAAATTTGTTTACTGAATTTTTTTAATCAATTTTTAGATTAAAAAATACTAATTTTTCTATCACTAACTAATATTAATAAGTGCCAAGACTCCTTAAATTAATTAATTGCAGAAAACTAAAGCTAAAATGCTATTTGCTATTATTTGTACTTTTTTAAAGTTTTTTTTTAAATTTAATTTATATTTGGCAGGGGAAGAATGTGTTCTAAATCGAAATCAAACACTGCAAATTAACGTGTTCCACATCATGCTACGACAATTTTATAAATGAGAATAAATAACAGAAATAATAAAAAGTAAACTTTATTCCATAATAAAGTATGCCACCTACATTTACTGCATATCAAAACAATGATGATAATAAAACATGTTTGGCTTTCCTCCATTGCAAAGAATATTCTTTTTCAATCCGTTAGTAATAAGCAATTTCACGTTTTCCACATTTAATGTTTTAATAAAGACATAATAACTCTTCATGTCTCGTAGGCTGATTGGAAAATCCGCCTCTTTGCTAACTGCCGGTGTCACTTTGCAATGTATCTATACTGCTTCCTGCAATAAGCCTAAGAAATGACGTCGGTTGTTTGTAAAGTCCCGGATGTTCCAACTAGCCTACGAGACATACATACTGTCCAGTATTCACAAATCGCAGTGATTAGCTTCTTGGCAGAGAGTTAGTAGACATAAACTCTACATTTATCTAAAACTATATCACACAGTTGAGTCACAAAAAATTGATACAAAACAACACTTTACAAATGGTAACACCAGAAAATTATTACATGTAATAAAAATGAACCACATTTTCATGCGCAAGTCTTTTTTTCATGGAGAACTTTCAAACTATAGACTATGTTTGTTTAGTTACTAGTATCTGTGGATTAGTCATTTTGAGTAGAAAGCTGTTATTTTATTCAAGTTAAAGCGGATGTTTTTTATTTTAGCCTAAGTGCAAATAGTCAATTTATTTCGATTGCAAATAACTTTAACCTTTTTCTTAGGATCTATTTCATCGATTGCAGAAAAACAAAGTAAACCTTATTTTTGAAAGTACATTTTAATTCTAACGTTCGTGCAAGATTTGCAATCGAAATAAATTTTTTAACGATGTTTAAAAAACGTTTAAATATTATTATTATTTGAAATTAATATTTTTTATCTCACAGTTGCTTAGTAGATAAATGCGATTTCAAACCTAAACTCTGATAGTCAAATATTTAGTTTCAGGGTTAAACAAACCACAGTAAATTAGATTCAACTTCTTTAAGAAAGATCGTGTTTAGACTTTTGTCTTATCTTTTAAGGATTTTTCAAACCGTTTCTATTTATATAATTTTACTAGTTTCTTGATATTAGTTTTAATTTGTTTCGGGGAGATAATTTTGCTATGGTATCCTTCATGTCTTAAATCCCCGATTGCACAGCAATTGTTGCTCAAAGATTTCACAATTTCAACCGGGAATTATGAGTGTCCATTCTGCTGTATTATTTCCTGTTGAACTTTCTGGATAATCTGGATCTGTTTGAAGGCTGTTGATTCTGTGAATTGGGGTGCTGTGGTGTCCTTTGCGTACTGATGGGAGAAAGGAGAGTGTCGTATTCCAAATGAGAACGCTGGACTGTGTTTCATCACCACCTGTTCGTAAATAAATTAGAAATAATTAAATTGTGAGCTATTATCAATGAAATGTTAACATTAGTTTTATGAGTTAAATTATTTTAATTGTAAAATAATTGATGCTTAAAATAAGTAGGAAAAACTGGAGAACTGAAAAAGAACAGTGAAATTAATTTAGAATAAAGTGCAAATATAAAAGTGTATTTAAAGTAAGCTTGTAAAGTTTTTATCTAAACATGCGAGTGCATTTTAGGCAGGTATGTGAAGTTTTTCTCTAAGCATGCAGCATATGCGTACACAGCACTTACAGTAAGTGGAGTTTTTTTCTTTCTATCTTACAGTAAGTGATTTATACTCACAGTGCACTGAAAGCAAATATGTGAAGTTAATCTTAAAACGTGTTGTAAGATAAGTTAATTGCACTGTACTTTAAGCACGCAGACACATAAAGTTTTTTTTTTCGGTAAATGTGCAATGTTTCATGCACACAGCCCCACTTTCTTTAAAACGGAAACTTGTTTGTTCAAAAACTCATAAAATAACTACGCAATCGTTTTTATCATAAAAATTCAAACTACCCATGCTATCAACCGGCATCTAATATTGATCAATATTCAGCTCATTTACCAGCTAGTGCTTGGCGTCTTTTTAAAAGGGCGATCTCAAAAGTAGAAAAAGTGGTACCATAAGTGTCGTATTATTAGGATTTATTTTGAAGAAACAAGAAATTTCTGTCTACCATGATATGACTACCAATATAAATATTTATACTTGGATCTGAAATCATATCACAGTGCGATATTGAATCTAAAGTGGTAACTAAAAAAATATCCTTTAGGTATACACAAATATGTAGTATGCGGAAAAAAACACGGAGTACCTTGAATAATATTTTGATAGAAAAATCGGATCATCACGTTCAAAGAACATACAATAAAACTAACCGTGAGAAGACAGTATTATAGACAGCCTTCATTTATGAAAGTTACACCTTCGTTTCATATATGGATAACATGTGCTAGTCAATTGGAATTATATTTATGTAGTGGTATATACACTACATTAATTTTAGTAAATATTTTTTTTTTAATAATCAGTCAAAAAATTTTTTAATGGTAAGGTCAATTTTTTTTTACATATTTTTAAAGAATGTCACTTTACATGACAAAATACAACATTTGAGCAAAATCGGTCTAATAGTTCCTTTGAAGTCAAGTTTTGAAAATGAGACTTATTCGAGTTGACAGATGCAAGTGAAAGCAGTGTGCTAATAAAAAGTAGTGCAGCGTCTTGATTAATAGTATTTGAATACATCACCTTCCTCTTGGTCTCATGGAAGGTAAGTGTATAAGGTCCATGTACGAAGAGGAAGATCTCACACCTAAATGGTGTGACCACGGACCCTGTAACAAGTTTCAATATTTTCTTACATTTCATAGCATTCATTTATTGCATTCTCTTATTCTTACTTATTTATATACATGTTACCGTCAAAGTATGAAACGCCGGCATTCTATAAAATGCCTTGACATNTCACAGTTGCTTAGTAGATAAATGCGATTTCAAACCTAAACTCTGATAGTCAAATATTTAGTTTCAGGGTTAAACAAACCACAGTAAATTAGATTCAACTTCTTTAAGAAAGATCGTGTTTAGACTTTTGTTTTTATCTTTTAAGGATTTTTCAAACCGTTTCTATTTATATAATTTTACTAGTTTCTTGATATTAGTTTTAATTTGTTTCGGGGAGATAATTTTGCTATGGTATCCTTCATGTCTTAAATCCCCGATTGCACAGCAATTGTTGCTCAAAGATTTCACAATTTCAACCGGGACTTATGAGTGTCCATTCTGCTGTATTATTTCCTGTTGAACTTTCTGGATAATCTGGATCTGTTTGAAGGCTGTTGATTCTGTGAATTGGGGTGCTGTGGTGTCCTTTGCGTACTGATGGGAGAAAGGAGAGTGTCGTATTCCAAATGAGAACGCTGGACTGTGTTTCATCACCACCTGTTCGTAAATAAATTAGAAATAATTAAATTGTGAGCTATTATCAATGAAATCTTAACATTAGTTTTATGAGTTAAATTATTTTCATTGTAAATAATTGATGCTTAACACGTTGAACGCCACGCTAATTTTACATGTCTTGCCCTTCAGGCCACAACGGTAAATAACTACAAACTAAATTTGCAAATATTAGACAGATTTTGCTAGTTTTTAAAAGGTTTAGCTTGACATAACTGAAAAAAGTGGTGAAGTATATAAGCCTACGAATTGTTTAGAAATAGTGGTGGATAAAGACCTAGTAAATTGAATTTATTAAACCAAGAATCACAATAATTAAGTAAATTTTGAATAAATTGTCTGCAATTGAATCTGCAATTCCATAAAAGAGTGTAAATTTTATAGTTCTATATCATGTTATACGCTGTCAGCCAGCTGTTTTTTGCTGCCTATGTGAAAGGTCAGTGTCAGCAAGCGGTGGCAAATGCAGCCTAATTGTAATTTCAGTGTCAGCCACCGGTGGTTGAGGTGGCCTAAATGTAATTTTAGTGTCAGCCACCGGTGGCTGACGCGGCCTAAATAGAAAGTTCAGTGTCAGCCACCGATGGCTGACGGCTCTCAACGTGTTAAAATAAGTGGAAAAAACTGGAGAACTGAAAAAGAGCAGTAAAATTAATTTAGAATAAAGTGCAAATATAAAAGTGTACTTAAAGTAAGCTTGTAAAGTTTTTATCAAACATGCGAGTGCATTTTAGGCAGGTATGTGAAGTTTTTCTCTAAGCATGCAATGCTGCATATGCCTGTGAAATATAGCACTTACGGTAAGCGGAGTGTTTTCTTTCTACCTTACAGTAAGTGACTTATACTCACAGCGCAAATATATGAAAACAAATATGTGATGTTAATATTAAAACATGTTGTCTGATAAGTTAATTGCACTGTTCGCAGACACATAAAATTTTTATTTTCGGTAAATGTGCAGCGTTTCATGCACACAGCCCCACTTTCTTTAAAACAATAACGGGAAACTTGTTTGTTCAAAAGCTCATAAAATAACTACGCAATCGTTTATATCATAAAAATTCAAACTATACATGCTATCAATCGGCATCTAATATTGATCAATATTCAGCTGATTTACCAACTAGTGCTTATCGTCTTTTTAAATGGGCGATCTCAAAAATAGAAAAAGTGGTATCATAAGTGTCGTAATTATTAGGATTTATTTTGAAGAAACTAGAAATGTCTGTCTACCATGATATGACTACCAATATAAATATTTATACTTCGATCCGATATCAGAACACAGTGCGATCTTGAAGCTTAAGTGGTAACTAAAACAATATCCTTCAGGTATATACAAATATGTACCTTGAATAACTTTTGATTGAATTATTGTATCTTCACGTTCTAGGACGTTCTAATTCTCAAAAAAATTAATTTTAGTTTTATTTATTTGTAATAATTAGTCGAAAAGTTTTTTAATAGTAAGGTAAATGATTTTTTACATATTTTTAAAGAATGTCATTTTACAAGGTAAAATACAAAATGTGAGCAAATTCGGTCTAATAGTTCCTGAGAAGTCAATGAGACTTCTTCGAGTTGACAGATGCAAGTGAAAGCAGTGTGCTAATAAAAAGTAGTGCAGAGCGTCTTTAATAATGTTTGAATACATCACCTTCCTCTTGGTCTCATGGAAGGTAAGTGTATAAGGTCCATGTACGAAGAGGAAGATCTCACACCTAAATGGTGTGACCACGGACCCTGTAACAAGTTTCAACATTTTCTTACATTTCATAGCATTCATTTATTGCATTCTCTTATTCATATTTTTGTATATTATAAAGCCCACACGAAGCTTGTATTATATTTAATTAAAATGATTCGCAGGCGTCCATAATGTTGTAATTCCTTACATATGTTTTGTGTAACGGTTACTTAATATATATATCTTGGCCAAGATATATATATTCAATTACACAAGTTGAATGAGAACTATGTAACCAAGTTTAACTAGCGAAACCTCTAAAATTATGCAACTTGCTCCACTTTGTAAAAAAATGTTTTCTAATGGTAACGAAATAAATGCTATTTTTAATTAAGTATTTTTCACTTTAAGTAATTTTTTCATTTCTACATTTCAAAAATTAATAGTATCATATAAAATGCAACTTTAATGCAGTTATCTCGGAGTGAATCTTTTAAAGAGTGGGCGTAATTATAAAACTTAATAAAAATAAATCTTAAGTCTTTTAAAAGTCTTGAAACAGTTTTATTAAATAAAGGAAAGTTCAGAGGAAATAAATTCTGTCAAGTTTTACAAAATTCATTATATAGAGTTTAATGTTAACAGTTCAAATCTGATAAATTGAATTCTAATTAAAGATGTAAGTGAACATATAAATAAAGCAATATATCGCCCTGAGCAGTTTTACATCTATTTATCGGGTTTTTAGTTAGTATGATTCAGTGTACGGATTCAAAGATTATATTAATTATTAAGTGATTTGATTTAAATTACGAAATCAGACAGAAAGTTGTACTTTCACAGCAGAAATATAATTCTTCTTCTTAGACGGATTTGATATTTTTGCAAAATATGAATATAATCAGATTTTCGGAAATATTGCTCTAGTAGTTCATCCTGAAAAGGTTGACATGATTCTCCTTTTTATGAAGTAAATGAACCATACTCTGTAAGGTATCTGATTAAACGGTTTGGAAAAATAATTTAACATGATTATGAAACAATTTAAACTTTACGATCTTCTTTTTTCGAAGTATACAAACATAATAACATCTTAAAGCTATGAGATTGAATATTTTCAAAAAATAATTTAACATGCTCTTTCAATGAATTTGCAATCTTTTCTTTGTAAAGTATACAAACATCATATACTCTTAAAGCTATCAGATATAACGGCTTCAAAAAATAATTTAACATGTTCTTCCTGTAAATTTGCAATCTTCTCTTTATGTATACAATCATAACATACTCTTAAAGCTATCAAATTGAAGGTTTTCAAATAATAATTTAATATGTTCTTCCAACGAACTTTGCAATCTATCTTCTTATTATCAAAGTATGTAAACATAACATACTCTAAAAGCTATCAGATTGAATGTTTTCAAAAAATAATTTAACATGTTCTTCCAAAGAACTTTGCAATCTTCTCATTATGAAGTAATGTAAACATATGTGGTTATGTAAACATAACCTACTCGTAAAGGTATCAGATTGAATGTTTTCAAAAAATAATTTAACATGCTCCTCCAATAAACTTGCAATTTTCTCTTTATACAAACATAAAGTTGTCAGATTGGACGTTTTCAAAAAATAATTTTACGTATTTAAAAGTAACAGAACATAATCTTTTAAGAATAAAAATGTTTTTTTTTTTTAAGTACCAATTTGTTCTACTGATATATGTATTAAACAACTTCGCACAACTTATAGGGTCTAAAACATTCATTTGCGCTTCGGCGATTTATTATTTATTCCCACTCAGATAAATTAGTTAGAGCCCCTGGCGGGGCTGATGCTAAGATAACAACCACGTATGAGATGAGTAGGGTCTAAAACAATAAAACTTTAAATTTACTCACTTTTTCTGGGCAGTGGTCAGCAGGTCCAGGTTTTTTGCTTTTGTCACTTGGAATGGGAGTCCGATAGCTGATTGTGTAGGCCGGAGATTTCTGTTTAAGTTTATCGGCTTCAGGGACATTATAAGAACCCGGACCAGGATTCTGAAACAAAACAAAAAGTTGTAATGATGTGCAAAATCTCAAAATTCGTTTAACATACAACATCCAAAGATTGTTTTTATGAATTTTTAACATATACACTAAAACTTGTTTAAATAATAAATTGTTAACATGAATACTCAAACATTGTTTAAAGAATGCATTCATAATACAAATTCTCAAAAATTGTTTAAAAAATAAATGTGCTTCACGATCTTGATAAACTAAATGAATAAGAAATATCAAACAAGTTAGACTCAATACGACATTTAAAGTACTTTTTGCATATTATCCAATTAATTTTAATGTTTTTTTAACTAATTTTATTATATGCTTTCCGATGCCAGTTTTAAGAAGCTAAATTTCTGTATCTAATGATGCTGTAGATATTCAGATTCGTGTTTAGATTCTTTTTGTTCATAAGTAAATTTCAACTAAAACAACTAACATTAATCTTGTACAAGTGGTGAAGTATATAAGCCTACGAATTGTTTAGAAATAGTGGTGGATAAAGATCTACTAAATTGAATTTATTANTATATATATATATATATATATAGTAACTCAAGTTAAAAACTGTAATTGATAGTTAGAAATCGATTATGAGAGGTCGAAATACGATGGAACAGAGCGGTGGCAACGATGGAACAGAGATCAAGAGTTCAACGTCAACCGCAATCGCCAATGAGTTCATCGATGAGCAAAACACACGTTGCTACGTCCATATTTTACACCTAAATTTATTCCATTGTTTCATTTTGCATGTATGGAATAAATATATGTTTCTTCTTGCGCTAACGTTGTGGTTTCGATATGCAAACCACAATAGATGTATATACGAAGGTTTTTTTTTTTCATCCTAGAATTAAGATTTCTTATCAATCTTATATGAGTTTTCTTAAAAATTGTCTTTGGTTAAAAAAAAAATTTTTTTTTTGTAGTGTACAAATGTTTTAAGAAATTATCATAATCAACATATTCTTCTGATAAAATGCTTTGAATATTTTTTGTGGACGCTTTCCATATAACAAAATCATCATTTTACGATAAAATGAGAACTATATAAGCTGGGAAAAAAAAACTTTACCTTATTCACACCCCAGATATCCCCTTCTTTACCACCCATTGTGAAAGCTGGAGCTTGGTAATGGACACTATCCTTAGTTCCCATAGTTTCAGGAATATTGTATGAATTGGGAGCTAGAAAAAAATAGAATAAACGTAAATTAAGGTAAAGAATTATCATTGAGATTAACATTAAAAGTATACTAATACATTTTAAAATAGGAAACATTATTAAATGCAAAACAATGCAATTCTTCAAACATAACATCCAATTCGTTAAACTAAACAAACAAATGTAATTATTATGTAAAGAGCTAATGAAAATAATCACAAGCCAAGTTTACAAATTGTAAATATAAGCTAGCAGAACTTATTTAGGGAAAATAAAGCACTTTTAATGTAGGCAGTATTATGTTTTTATGTTGATGCTGTCAAATGGTGAGCAATACTAAGTACATATCTGTGAGCAATACAAAAGAACAATCTGTAAATAAGTAGCAGTTAGTGAAATAAGAGTGAATAAGTCACATTTGCAAAAATGTGGCTTATCACTTATCACTATATTACTCTAAATTTTTCCTCATTTAATTTTAATCTCATTGCAATAAATATATTAAAAGACAAAAAATATTACCAGGTATATCATCTGGCTTTGGACCTTTATGCTTGGCACCGAAGGTATAACTTGGAGCTCCGGCGAATGCTTTTTCTACTTTTTCGGGTGAATAAGCTCCTGGAGCTAAAAAAAAAAAAAACAAGTAAGTAAAAATCAAACAATCTACTCATTTTGCTAGCAGTACAATGTGCATAAAATTCAATGCATGCAAGGCAAAAATTAATTAAAATTTCGCTTATCTAAAAGCAAATTTATTCACAGCCTAGAATCACAAATTTTAGCACTGCCTCCGTCTGATTTTAGTTGCCACATTTAGGTCGAAAATTTTGTCCCAAATTAGTTACTACATTTCAAGTAGCTGGAGTCATACATAACTACGGATGTAGTTTAGAAGATCGACACCAGCAAAATTAGACTACTCATGAATTCACAATTCTTTAGCTAAAAGATAATTTTATGCAAATATTGGTGGAAGAATCCTTACAAAAAGGAGCGTGGCTTACGAGCGTATGAAGCCTGGATTTTTGAAACTAATTTGGTACTTTTTTAAGGAGGAAATGATCAGCAAGTTAATGTCGTTGATTCATAGCTTAAATACCCTGAAATCTCTGAAGAATGTTCATACAAAATCATCACTAGCAACTAATTAAGCACTAATTAGCACTAATTAAGGACAGAGGGATTATATTTTAATGTTCTTTAGTTAAGGACCAAAGAATATTACATACTACACCTGACAGTGGCGCGCAATACAGTATCACATCAGCTTGCAATTCGAATCTTGAACAGTATGCAATACAAATTTCAATCAGTTTGACACAAATCTTGATTGAATTACATTCATAAATCTGGATTGCATTACTATTTATGTTATGCATAAAACTTAAATAAAGGAAAGAAAAAACCACATTATTTCTATAAATTTCAACAATAAAATCAATTAATTTTTTTCCTTCTATTATTGAGAAACGTTATAGTTCCATTTAACAAGCCTAACTTGAATCATTTCTTTGTGCTTGTGAAAAACATATTCTATAATTTCGATTGTTATGATCGGTTGCCCTCAGGAAAATGCTCAAATGTGCTAACATCAGAATTACAATAAAAATAGCAACTCAACAAACAAAAACAAGGGAAATGCGCGTGTAACCGATTAACAGGATCACATGAGAGCATTTAAAGAGAATGTAAAAAGAACTCAATTAAGGATACGTCCAAAACAGAACAACGTTAATGTCGAATAAAGTAAAAGTCGTAAACATAAAAGAAAAATAGTAATATAAAAGTCGAATGTAAATGTAGTACAACTTTTAGTAGCGAAATGTGATTCATCAGTTTCTTTGTACGGATGCGACGAGTCGTAACTCTTCGTTTATTACTAATTATTTCTTGCAAATTATTTTGTTCGTTTGTCAAAATTAATCAACTTATATTAATATCGGATCTAAGCAGACCCGATACTGATGTAAGCCTTTCATAAAAACATTTGCACTATTTGTGCAAACCCGTTTGTCTAAGACTATATGAAGCAGCAACCATTCAAAGATAAATGTTCACATGACGTTCACCTTGTTGCACTACTGTGCGTCGCATTCATTTTAGCACGATTTAACATTCACTTTTAATGCTCCCATGCGAGTTGGTTAATAAGTTAATCTTAATCTGTGTTATCCTTTTACTGTTATTATTAAACCTGAAGGGTGGCACTGCTATCGTATTTCTGATGCTATCACGCATATCAACTTGTCATGTGGGCAGTTCTTACGTACACTGAATTTACCACACTAAATATGGATTTACACTCTAGCTTTAAGCGTGCATCAGTACTGTCATTTGTGCGTGCTCAAGAAATGTATCTCAATTACCAGGTGTATCTTCTATTTTAGGCGGTTTGGGTTTTCCGCCAAACGAGTACCTTGGCGTTGAATCCAGAACAATAAGAAGAGCTTGATCAGCATTATAGAAACCAGGAGCTGATGCATTTCCGGAGGATGAAAGTAAAGCAAAGGAATAAAATAAATTTGTGAAGATGCATACATCTTATTGTACTGTTATAATTTTACTCAAAACTTATAATTAACTGGAATTTAATTTTTTTTGTTAAATTATTTATTAATTCTATTCTATTTAATAATTTTAAAAAATAATTTCATAGATCATTTAAATTTATAATTATTTTTGTTCTTAATTAATTTTTTTAGTGAATCTTTAAAAATAACATTAAATATTTTAATAAAATAGGGAATGTATTATAATCAATTAAAGTAAATTTATTGTTAACTTTACCTTAAAAATTTAATGGGCAACAATAAAAAATTTGTATATGAATTGATTAACTACTATATGTACTACAGATAGTGTGCGTTAATTGGGAACATGCAAGTGACGTCATCGTAGGAAAATGGCATGGTAAGGATTTTTCGATTTAGTAGCCAATTAGGTTCAACACAATAGCGTGACGTCGGCTACAGATATCCAATTAAATCTAATTTAAACCACTTGGTAAGGCATAATCACATCACTTCTTCTCGAGTTGTAAGTATCCGGATTATATTTATTTTCAAGAAAAATCACGAGAAATAAAATTTTGATTGCAGACTCTATATATTCTCGGCACGTTCATGGGAAATTTTAAAGATTTGTGACCATTAATTTTTCATTGTTTATAGAAAAAAATAATATTACCATGATGACAATCTTGAATTATTAAATCAAAAAAATATATATCTAGAATTAGATATTTTATGGTTTATAACAACTTGAAAATTAAATATACTGTGTTCTATGTTAAAAGAAACACAGATGGTTTTTGCAAGACCTTCATTTAACATCTATTCGAAGAAAATTCAAAGTAATATGTCGTCTAATCGAACAAGATATTTTTTTATTGAGAAAATTATAAATTGCAATACAGCATGAGAAAATTATAAAATGCAATACAGCATGCGTTAATGAAACACCTTGAGTAAGAGAGCCTGAAAGTAGCAAATTATTTCAGATACATGATTTAATCAGAAATTAAATATTCAAATCGGCTATTACTAAATTTAACTTAAGTACAAGATGATATTGGAATCTGGGTATTGTGATAATAATACCACTACACCAATAATACCACTACTGGGTATTGTGATAATAATACGTAAATACCACTACAAATATTAAATACCGATTGAGTAGTATTTAAAACATAAGTTGGATATTACAGAAAAGCGTCTAATATCCAAAAAAAAAAAAAGTACTATTTACTATTCTACGGAATTTTATTATTTTCGATAATGTCGGTTTCATTTCACTTCCGGCGGTCACTACTGTGGGTCAGAGAAATATTGACCATGTCACCTTTCTCCTATCAGAAAAATCTCTTTCCCCTTCATATGTATAAATTGATTAAATGGCCTCACGAATTGTAATTATCTATCTAAAATAGTAGTCAAACGACCTTCAAAATGTTTCTCTACGATTATTAATGTAAATTTTTATTAAATAAAAAGTGGTACATAGACAAAGTTGCCAGTGAGGATTTAATACGTTGTGCATACGTGCATCGAACTGGTGCAAGTGCGAAAAGCACTTACCAGGTGTCTCGTCTTGCTTCAGATCTCTGTGTTTTGCCCCAAATGTGTAACTAGGCGTTTTATCTAGGAGATTTTTAACACTATTTTCAGGATCATATGACCCAGGAGCTGAAAAATATTACATTTAATCTATGATATTAGTCTCTAAGTTGTTATATTACTAATGTATTTAGAAGTACTATTGTTTTCGGGTAGAGTATATGAATCAATTTCAGTTAAAATTTACAAATAAAATAATTTGAGGTGAACCGGGTTCGAATCCCAGCGATGGCTGATTGATACGAATTCTGCATTCGTCTGGCACCGACTACAGTGCTGACATAAAATATCTTTAGGGGTAGGCAGATCATGGTTAGAGTTTCCTTGCCGTCAGGCTAACCGTGAGGGGTTTCGTGGTTTTCCTGTTGAACGTGGTTATGTAAAGCAAATGGGGTTAGTTGAATCAAAAAATCCTCCTCGAAGGCAAATTTCCTCAATACTTGATCCAGGCGTTCCCTTGACTTCTGGATTGGGTTCAAAATTACAAGGCTACGGAGTTGAACATTAAAAGTCGTTAACCCAAAAAATTGAGTCAGCTGTTCAACGATGGTTATGAAAAAATAATAATAATTGAAATTTAGTTCTTTTTAAAAATAGTTTCAATCATATTATAAAAAAATTCATTTGTTTAAAATTCATTCAAAAAATAGTGGAAGTTTTCAGCAATTGCCATGGTTTATACAAAAAAATAAGTAGATAAGATATCATAGATCTTTTTCCGTATAAAATATTTACTTTTGTGTTTTTCCCCCTTAAATACTGCAACAATTTATTCACTTAGATTATAAGTTCACATATACCTCAATCATTATTTTCACTAAAATAACCATGGCATTTCCTTGCACCAGGACTGCTAAACTAAGTACCCTAACACCATGACACATCGTTAAAGCCATGTATATAACCTGTAATACCATGCAATAATTTGTTTGCTATGATTTGATAACATACAGGATACTTCTATAGTGAAAGGAAAGTAAATGCTTTACCAGGTATGTCATCTGGTTTTTGGTCCTTGTATTTTAAACCAAACGAAAATGCGGGAGATTTTTGGTGAACCATATTTTCCATTTTCTCAACATCATAAGCACCCGGAGCTACAAAAATAAATTATCCTCCTTTAAAAAGCAGAATAATTTACAACTCAATGAATCAGACGTCCAGTTTTTAATGTTTTGATTAAATATTAGAGTTTTTTGAAGACTTACCAGGTATATCATCTGGTTTCGGATCCTTATATTTAATGCCAAATGAGTAACTCGGAGTGTTATCTAGCACTGTTTTGATACTTTTGTCTGGATCGTAAGCGCCTGGTGCTGAAATAACATTACTATCAGTAATAAGAAAAAAGTGCTATGAGAAAGTGCTGATTTCTACAAGTGTGCAAATTACTAGATACTGTAAACTTCAAATCAAATTAGCACAACAATTTTTGCAAAAAGATTTCCAAAAGTGCGAAAAGCATTAGAGTAAGAATTTTATGGAGGACCCGTTTCCATAAAATTTTTCCTCAACAAATTTGTACTGCAACTGAATAAATTATGAAAATAATTTTATTGCAAACTTCGCAACCAATTGGTTTAGAAAATCGATCACAACAAATAACTATTCAAGAAATTCATGGGAACGATTTCAGAAATTTAAATAATATATATATATATATAAAAATTACCTGTATTCAAGTTCGAATACAAATTTATTGTGCAAATACTTTAAATGCAAATTCACAAATAGCTACACAAACAATTAAAATTTTCAATTCAAATTTCTGTGTTAAGAATGAAAAATCAACAAATTAAAATAATTGGATAGTCTGATGAAGAATTTAAAAAAAAAACGTGGAAAAAAATATAGTGCAAAATGGAAAAAGTGCAAAAGAATATAGTGCAAAGGAAAAACATGCGATGGAATAGCGTGCAAACAAGAACAGAATTTTGATTGAAATAGTTTGAATTACCAGGTATATCGTCAAGCTTTTGATCTTTAGGTTTAACACCGAATGAAAATGCTGGTGACGTATGAATTAGGCTCTTTTCGACTTTTTCTACATCATATGTACCAGGTGCTAAGAGAGAAAAATATTTATTTAACCCTTGCTTAGATATGGGTGGTAGACTGAACATTAACAATAGCCCTAAAACCGGAAGAAATTTGGAAAACTTCCGATGTATTCATCCGCTTAAATCATGCATATGAGGCGATGTGTGAACAGGCGTAATATACCTAGGAAGTTTTATTAAAGTGATTTTTGTTCAATTTTACGTGAAATTTTACACTTCATAAGAGTTTTCTGTAATTTATAAATTCTAACAGGTTGTGAATTTAAAACAAATTTAAAAAATTAATATCAATGCATAAAGGTGTTGTATTTGCCACGTTTTGAGTGTCTTCCTTTCCTTTTGGCTATAATTATTTAAAATATAGCCGGTTGTTATTTTTTGTGTTGTATCACAGCATGCTTGACAAATCATTCTCCCAATTTCATTTGTTACTTGTTTTGTTAAAAGTTAAATTGAAAGAACGCGTAATAATGTGAATACTACAATTATAATAATACTGAATGACGCACTTTTCCAAGCTTAGATCTAGAAATCAATCGGAAGAAGTAACCCGGAAGTGTTACAACTAGTTATAACCCCTAGCGCCATCTGTGCTTAGTTACATAGTCAGACATCTATACGATTGTTTTATAAATCATAATTTTTTTTGCGTTTTTTCATTGTAGTGATGTAAAAGCAAAAATGTTACGAAAGAAAAAATTTTCTTTCTTTTTCTTATTCTGCAAAAAAAAAAAAAACTTCGGTCGATGTATTCGCAATATTTCAAAACAGTACTGCATTATTAGAAAATCGATGTTTTTTTTTTCTCACCTTAAGGAAATAAAAAACTGAAATATTCTTAACCACTTGCACTAGAAAGACGTCCCATGTACAACGCAAACATTGCAGGGCATCTTAACTGTTTTGGTTTAACGTTTATGTTTACCTCATAAACAAGGCGATCTCAAAAGCAAGGAAAGAGGGTTAGCCGATTCTATTATGTACCGAGGTTTGCTTTATGTATTTAAGAGAAAGCTCTTTGCATGCTTCGAAACCGGTTTTGTTTACATTCAGAGCAATGATGAGGCTTTTATAAGGAAAATATTTATAATTTGTTTTTAAGCACGGTTAACAGTTAACTTAGCTACGACGCAAAATGAGAATTCGAGTAGTGGTCCATGATCAGAAAACTAAAATAAATGAAGACTTTTGTCGTTCATATCAAAGATAGCCACAGTTAATGCTTCGCAAAGAGTTGCATTTGACTGTGAGTGAATTTCTTGCCTTCAAAAACGGCTAGGAAACGCTT